GGCATTAATTACTGGTGTCTCTTACGATTTAACCTATTCCGTCACTTTACCAATAATTAGTTTCATAACTTCATTATAGATAGAGCGATATAATTTAATAGGGAACTGACAAGCCACGGCATTGGATATTAGTTCCCAGAGCGTGTCTATTGAATATTGTCGAGTTTAGTTAATATTCAAATTAAGATCAAACTTGGTTTGTATGGGGGACTGTCCTCAGGGTCCCTCTCCTCTGCTCTGTGTCAGCTAACATAATTCACCCGTAAACAAAGATATTCCACGCAATAAATATAACCTATATATTACACTTTGGTTTAAGGAACACACTGTCTTTTGTTGTTCAAATTCTATCCAACAATAACCTTCCAAACAAAAGGTCGACTCTGGAAATGTAAAACGTCTAACGTGCATTTGGAAAATATTACAAGAGAGATTTAACATATTTTTTTAAAGAAAAAAAATTATAACTGTAATTCTATTCTTCTTCTTCGGAAATCTAGAAAATTTCAGCTTTACAATATAATTAAAAAAGTAGAATTATTATTTTTTACTTAAAAAAAATATTTTAAATCGCTCTCCTGTAATATTTTCCAAATGCACGTTAGACGTTTTACCTTCCCAGCGTCGAGATGATTTCATAGCGATGCTTACGACAAGAGCGGGCAGAGTTTAGAATAATTTCCACCATTTTAAAATGTTTGTGCAATAGGGAATCGGACAACTTGTCAAAGCTATTATATATATTATGGAAAATAACCATAATGGATATATAAACTCATTTAAATAAAGCTTTTCAATTCCTTAGCTAACTCAGAAAAGATGACGTCAGTATACAAACTGCACAATGCGAACTTGCCATTTGCGAAAATTTTACTTTTTCATTCGCCACTGTCCACAATCCAAAAATTGTACATTAAAGTGATTAAATGAAGGAAGAACGACAAGATTTATTTACGAATGACGTCACGTGGTCACAATTTTCATTCATACATATAAAATACAAATTATTATTACACAAAAATTTGATTTTTGATTCAATGTTCGCTTTTACTATACAAACATTATTTCTAACCACATTATTTTTAGATTTTATCTGATTTGTGTCCGATTGCCTATTACCCAACACCAACATGCGGCAACGTGTCAAGTAAGCCCTTTATTCCGTACCGTACCGTGTGAGCAGTACGCATTTGCCACGTTGCACACGACACGTTTGCACGGCAAAAACACGAACTGGTAACTTTTGATATATCAAACGTAGTATCGTTGCAACTAGGATTCCACCTGCAAAGGTCGTCAGCGCTGCTATGAAGTCGCTGGCAACAAGCCATACTTGATTTTAAGCAATTATCAACCCTAATTACGCCATACGTAAAGCTGTCAAATCACTTGCTCTCTCATGAGGCCATAAGTCTTTTCGTTCAATTTTGTAAAGCTATTTAACTTACATTTTTCTATTTGGGCTTAAATTTTTATAATTGAGCCCAAATCTAGCCATTCCTTCGAATATCTGAATATTATTCATTGTTAATATCACAGATATTTGGTACCTCCAACCAAATGTAAAAGTGCCATATGTATGACAATATAAAGCACTTTGCCAGTGCCATAAGTGCCAAGTGGCGCGCGCGTAATTTTCGCAGAACGCTTTCGAATAAATTTGTTTCGAGTACAAACAAGTTTCAATAAAAAAATACTATGACAACTTGAAACGAAATTAAAAAAACAACACTGAATCCGTTGTTAAAAGAATCGATACATATAAAATGTGTTGATAAATTATCATCATTTACATCTAGTTGAACAATAAACACGTCACTACACACTAAACGTGTTTTCACACACTACTGAACGTGTTCACACATATTCTACTGAACACAACATTGATCATTCACTACTTATTATAAATAATTGTATTATTAACAGTGTTATGAACAATGCAAGTGTTTAGGCAATGATTCAATATAGGTAGTTTTTATTGATTAGAGTATATAACTAAGAAAAAATTCCTTCGATCCGGCTGGATTCGAACCAACGTCTTCCAGCAAACCGTGCCAGACGCTATACCAACTAAGCCACGGAACGAACTAGCGGACCTTACGAATATTTCTACGTACTTGTTGCAGATCTTTATTTTTGTTTTTGGTTTTTAAATCGAAATCTACTTCTTCACTCAGTCAGGTACCTTTACAGCTATCAGCAGCTGATTAGGGATGTCGCTTTAATATCTATTAGCGTACTATAGACAATACAATTTTGGTTCAGCACTAAAAAGAGCGCCTTTGTGATATGGTACATGAAATTATAATTAACAGACCAAATCAGATCTAAGCTAGGTGTTATGATTCTCGAGATAGAGAAATGGTGCCGGTGAAATAAGCTTATTCCAGCGCGGACAGTAAAACACCCTTATAAGTTTTTATCGGCGGACCGACTAAATCTAGTTATTTGCGACTAGAACCGACTAAATAGCGACTTTTTTCTGGATAGTCAAATTTCAAAAACTCGACCAAGGTCGCACTGGAATAAGGAACGCTAACCAAATAGCCTCTGTGCCGCGGCTGCTAGTAATTTAGGCGACAGATACCATTCGGTTGCCAGTACAACCTATTCAGAAATCGAAATTAATTCTAGATTATTTTCCAGAATTACTTTCATGTATCCATGTTTGTATTACTATGGTAACAGTGCGTTAATATGTATAATCTGCGAAACTCAAAATGGATTTTCAAATGAAATATTTCAACCTAAAACATTTATACATCATTATCAATAATTTATGCGTAAAATTTTAGAGAGAGGTGTAATTCTCGCGATTGCTTAAAATGAGTAATGGAAGACCGGACCAACACTCGTGAAGGTGCTGAATAAATTATCATTTTATTTATATATCTTTCTGCAATACGTAACTAATCTAATTGAAGTCACACTCGTCAATAAAGGCTCTTAGATGCGGGGTGAGTTGATATAATTAAGTATTAATACTTTTCCCTGAAAGGTTTTATTGTGACCCTGACTTACCTACTGTCCATCGTTTTGAAAAATAACATGCCGACCGGATTTCGAAAGATAAAATCAATACAAAAAAAATAATATGGCACAAGATCTCCCAAGGTATCAAGTTCCCAAGCTACAAACTATAAAAGTTATGCAGGTGGTTCCACAAGTAAGTTTCGAAGTTAAACTGAATCTTAGAATTTATATAATTCTTTCACGTTCGTCCAAGTTCAGATCAAAAGCGGCAAGGGTAATGACCGGGACGTATAACCAGGTAGGTAAGTCAAAAAGTACAAAGCCTTTCAACAAGCTGTATGGAGATTTTTTTATTGTTAATCGCTACGAGTGTTTATGCACGTGACTGTACTGGGAATTACCTTATTTAAAACCCGCATTCGTTACTATTTGTTATTACACAGTGAAAGGAGAGATAACGTTTTATTTGTGCGATATTCTATGCTGTTACATTGAACCATTGCTTAAACTGTTCTACATTCCTTATTTAGTTTTTAACTTACATCTAAACACTGTCTTTACCTTTGGAAAACTTTGGCAACAAAATACAGGAAGTAAATCCGTCTTATTTATCATTTTCCTCGAGACATGAATCACATACTTTTGCCTCACACATTGTACAATGCATACAGAAGCCAGAAGTAAAGTGGTCCAAAATTACGTGTAGAATTATAAACGAGGTTAATTTAACGGCTGCCTAAAGGCCAGCGCAAACCGGCAGACGCGAGGGCAGAGGATATTATATATATCAATGCATATTTTATGATATTTCAATTGATATAAGGTATAAACGATACCTACAATGACCACCACTGCGCCAACATTGTTTAGTCATTTTCTGTAAACAGCCCGACTTCGCTGGCTAGGCCACGTCGAGAAAATGGGTGAAGATCATGCAATCAAGAGAGCATACCTTAGGCAACCGACCAGCAGAAGGCCTGTTGAACGACCTAGTTACGCTTTATCGACCAAGTCCACAAAGACCTGTGTGAGCTTCAAATAGCTGATAGGCAACAGGCTGCACAGAAGAGAGAAGCGGTTGCATCTTAGTGTCGAAGGCCAAGATCCACTTCGGGTCGCTGAGCCAGCGAAGTGAAGTGTCACCAGAATATTCCCAAATTGTATTTGACATAAAAACCGATATATTAATTTTATTTTAAAGTTTTTCTTTTCTTATACTTTTGAACGGTCATTTCTAGTTACGGTTTGAGAACCGGAAACCGTATGACATTAAAAAGTATTCAAATTATTATAAAAGCAATGATACTTGAAATTACAGGTGATCGTACGTTAAATTGAGACACGTCATCTTTTTAAGAATAAAACTATAGAATGATATGATAAGTAATAATATTGTTTTTAATCACCTGAATCTTTAACTTACGGTATTTTACAATTCTGGTTTCATTTAGTTGCACATTTAGATCCAAAATATTAGCGTATTTTATATTATTATAGAATTATTTATCGTAGAATTTAATATTAAAATTATAAAAACACAACACAGCCTGATTAACAGGGAATTAGGTACAAATTTATACATATATTTATGAAAAAACTTAAAAAATAATAACGATGACAATTTAATATCGTCGGTGTTTTGTAGAAATGGCGTAAGCGTTATTTTGAAAATTTTTGTTTAAAAATATTTACGTTCTTAAATTCAATTTTATAATATAAACTTAATTGAAATCATAATTGAATTTTATATTAATGCTACCCTGAAAAAAATTTAGAAACCAGGCTTAAGTCTTTTCTGCGAAAACCGACGGTATGATGACTTTTTATAAAAAAAATACCGACTTCAAATGTTCGTGGAATTATATCTATTTGTCAAGTTCTTAATGAAATCCGTTAACGAAAAGTGCGCGAAACCGGATTCATCTCGTAGTTTACCACCCTTAGAGGTGGAATATTGTCTTCAAATTTAAATAGGACGAACACTGAGGTACCTTCTTTCCAACCAAAGAAAAAATCATCTAAATCGGTTCACAAATGCCGTAACATATAAAAAAATATAGCTGAATTGACAATGTCCTCCCTTTTTTGCGAAAGTTGTGAAAAATAAAGAAAATTTCACTTAAATAATGTTAAAAGCTTTAACATAAAAAAAATTGTAGCATTGCCGGTCGTTAAACCTGTTTATGCAATAATATTTTAGTAGAAAACACCAACGCGTGGACGCAAATCGCACCCTTCATGGAAGAATGGCACAAGTGGAGTTACATCAAAAGTGTTCATAGCATCATTAGATACAGAAAAATATAACTCACACCTCTACAGTTCCTGTAATTCTATCCGCAATATTAGTCGACAAAGTTGCAAGAATTGGAGAGGATGTGGGTAATACTTTTCTGTGTCCAATTCGCAAATAAACGGTTTCGACGCAACCTAAAACGCGGTGTTCTAGTTTAGGCCCTGCGTTACACGCTACTGGAAATGTGGCGGAAAGAACGAACGCTCCTTGCCTTGGTTAGTGGTCGGCTACTGCGCGGCGAAGAGGCCGGGCCCCGCGGCGCCGCGGCCGGCGGCCTGGTCGCGCAGCGCCGCCAGCTGGCGCCGCAGCGGCCGCAGGTGCGTCTCCAGCAGCTCGCCGGCGCTGCGCCGCCCCGTCACCTGCAGCAGGTGGCTCTCCAGCTCGCCGTCCACGGCCGCCAGCTCCGCCAGCAGGCTGCGGGCCAACTGCTCTTACACGTCGGCCCGAGACGAGTCGGCCCCCGTGCATTGTATACAGGGTGGCAAAAAAAACACTGGCCATTTTTTCACTAATAGAACGCGTCAGTGAAATAAAACAAGTAGAAATTTCTCTATTTTTTTGATGTTAATATTTCCCAATAATTTCCAACGCGTGGTTACCTCAAAATCGTACAAAAGTAAATACCTAAACGCCTAGACGCCAGTACGTCGCGACGACAGACCTGCGGTAACTAGAGATGGTTTATATAATATATAGCAATATTTTAGCAATTATAATTTGAAAGACATAAACGTACTAAAATTATAACGAATTATTTTACAATATTTCAATGCCATACCACCAATCTATCCGTGCTTTACTTACGCAGTTAACAAACAAAATGCTTCTTCGTCCTGGGAGCATATTCTATGTGAAAATTACGGCTCTTGTCATTGATTGAAACAATTATAACGTGTATGCTTTCACATATTATTTGTAGCATTTAACGTTTGATGCGAAAGGCGAAATAGCTGATTGGTTTATTGATGTTAAATGTAACGTTTGAGTACTCTAAGCGGTAATGCTATATTTAGCACTTGGCACCAATTATAATTTTGATTACGTTTCAATACGATTTTGAGCTAATGGTGGAACGTTAGCAAAATTTCGTCTAGTGAAGCGATTTAAATTAAGATATAATTAAGTACTTGGATTTATTTAGTTACTTTAGCATTTTTTTAATTAATAAGTCGTTGTAAAATTTGTATATAAAAGTACGAGTGTGTGCGTTATTATTAATTATTATGAGTGTAATTTACAGTAAATAACCAGTGTAAAGTTTTGTGCAAATTGTAATTGTTAAAGTATGAAAGGAAGCTCACTGATTTATCGTCTATAACCTGTAACCACCATATTATGTAATAGTTACAAAACAAATGAAGTCAGTCGTAACTAGCCATAAAAAACTATAAACTATTCTATAGATAGACCATAGATGCTCTACTTATCAAGTTAGCGCACGTCAACTATTTCACGTTTCTTTCCACTCGTTACATCATCACACGACCTTGAGCTCCTAAAAATTATAATTTTAGCACTTTAAATAGCGCGCTATAAACATTTAGCATTTAGCGTGCTATGCGAATGTAACAGTTAATCTCATCTCTAGCGCTAACGCATCGCGCGTTAATTTAATACTTTGTTGTCTGTTAAATACATGAATTCGCGCGCTGACTCCGCCCACTGCGATCACATCGGGTGTCAATATTGTTCACAATTTTTCAGAAAACTTTGATATGTCATAACTTATTTATTTGTTAAGTATTTCAAAAAAAAACCGAACAATAATTTTTTATTTCCATTATGCAGTATGCTCTTTTAAAATGGTCAGTGGTGTTTTTATCAACCTGTATATATACGCATACTTCCCGATATGGTGGAAAATAGATATTTATACCGTTGTAAGCGGATAGGCTCCACGGCAAAGAATCAAATATGAAAAGATCTGATTGTGGAAAATGTAAACGAGTGATCAACGGCCAGCAAAAACTAAAATGGGGGGAATATTTGTCACTTTTACGAGATACACCTTGAGTTAGATTTTTTTTAGTTTATCTATACACATATTATAAGCTCTCTATGATGTGTTCAGGAACCACATGATACGACTGGCGAAATGGCGGCAGATAAAAACTTTGCTCACGCATGTCACATAACGTACTTAGTTTTTATTTAATTTATAGACGAACTAGAGTCGGCCCCAACTATCATATCCTTCGATATTAAGTAACGTGTGAGATTCAAAATTGTTTAATATTGGCGTTTCATTTCGAATAAAACTTCACCTCGACTGATAATAGAAATGAAGTCGAATCAAATTGTTTTGTTTTTCAAAGATGTTCGAAATTTGAATGTAATAATAAAATCGAATTTGATTTTATTAGCAATAATAACATTTTTACATATAAGAAATTTGTTCTAACAAAACAGTTTATCTTTATGCTGGTCGTAATTTGCGGTTTTTGAACACATCGCAGAGGGTTTATGATATGTGTGTAGATAAAAAAAAAATTAAAAATCCTTTTCTCGACAATTTAACTCGAACTTTTCGAACACATAGCTTTATTCGTCGTGAGGTTGCGATGTGATCACTTTATAACAATTATAGGCACTATTACATGAACACTATCTAGAACTATCTAGAACACCAAACTAGAACCAATTCATAAAATTTGGAGCCTAAATTAGTTCCACAAGGTATCCTTCCAGAGTTTATATCAACCACAATAATAGTTGGACCACCAAAATCATCAACTTTCAGTGTTTCTGAAAAGGTGTAATAAAATGAACTTGTGTCCACATAACTTACTGTTGCGCGTTGCTAGCGATGTTTTCTAGTTGATCTGGACAAATATAGTTATTGCTCTGGTGCCACGGACTGAACCACGATATCACCCTGGAAAGGCAACCACAAAAGGCTATATAAAAAATAATATAACTCAACAAGCTTGGAATAGTATATTTTTTATCGACGACCTACAATATATACCCAAGGTGGCTAGCTACCTGAGCTTTGGCGAGGGTGTCTATTACTCCGAGGGTTTACATCGGCTTTTAGTCTCGAGGTGAAAACTACTACTTTTCACTTCGATTGCGAGAAAATAATTTAATGAAATACTTTCATAGATTTCTCATAGATGGCGCTACGGCTAAAAAGTTTTTGAAAACCAAATACAAAGATCCGACAACAAGCACATAAAAAATTCGTGAGTTCGTGAGAGATTTGGTTTCGTTGGCATAGCGTCTGCCATGGTTTGCTAGGAGGCGTCTATTCGAATCCGGCCGGATCGAAGGAATTTTTTCTAAGTATTCGATATTTGTGTTAATAGTTATAACAAACCAATGGAGTAATTTCACAAAAAATATAATAGCGGAGAAACATTCAATAAAAATTTAAAAATAATTTATTTATTTCAATCGTTTATGCTCTACAACAAAATCGAGAACCAAAATTCTGGAAATTTTCGTGGTATTTTTTTTTTTCAACCAGACACTGATACAACAAACGCAACAAAACGCGACGATTAGCGGTCTTTGGAAATCATGAGCGTCTTTATAACGATTTAGTGCTACGTCGCGTCACCCAAATGGTCCATGCACAATGGCACTAACGCGAGAAAATAATATGGCGCCACCGTCTATGCGGAAAAGGCACGGAACTAAAACTGCTGTTTGAGTTTGTCTAAGTCGAAGTAAATAAAAAACTATGTACCTTTTACTCCCTAGAGATTAATGTAATTTAGGACTCGTGCATCATGCCGGTGATATGTCGCGGGTGCGGTCGCATCGACTTCTAACGACGAAATACAGTGCAGCATGCGGGCGACTAGCGACATAATATTACCGGCGACTTATCGATTTATCGTACCTACAGGGAAAATGGATATAGTATCAGAACTTTTTTGTTAGAAAAGTTCGTTTTACGCGTCCGTGCTCTAGGATATATGTATAATAAGGATATTTAATATTCGTCCAATTAATATTCTGCGGCGATTACGAACTGCATCAAGGAACCTATCTGGGTCCAATATTATAATTTTAATTACTTATGTAATAATCTAATAACATCGAGTATATAACCAGAAATAGAGACGAAATAGGAACCATATATTCCTGGTAACTCATCAGTGATACATCACTTATAAATACCAACTCTCGTTTGCACTAAAATATAGACAGCGCCAACAACTGACCTGTGTGTACGTCTCCGTATATTCCAAAAACATTCTGTATTTATTGTAATAAAGATAATAACTCTAACAATGGCGTGCTGTTCCATTCGGTGGTGTGGGGAAACAGCAAAACAGCTAATTACAAAACAAACGGAATCAAATTTCATCGGTAATTAAATATTAAATACGTAATCTTACAATTTTCGTCCTTTACAGCAAAGCTCAAGTTAACTGGTCGATTTGAAGTGAAATAATTGACGGCACCCGTCAATTGTTTCGAACCCGGGCTAGCCAATCGGAGCGCAGTTGTCACGGTAATGACATGGCAGAATAGTTTTCAAACAAATTAATTGACATTTCGTCTCTATTTCTGGTTATATACTCGATGTCTAATAATAATAGGAACATTAATTGATCATCTAGTAATTGTCGCAAGCGACTTGCGACGACTGATGGCTGCAAGTCTCACGACCAATAGTCGACGGTCGCGGGCACGCTGCACTAAGGAATGAAAGGAACCTCCCCGCAATGCCGAATCGTATTCTCAGTACATCTGGGCAACAATCGGCAAGTACCTTAGGGTGTTACTACACCAATCAATACATAGTTCGACGATAACGGTGTGACCTAACGGCTTGCAATGTGCAAATTGCTTTTGAATGAGCATTCAGAACCAAATTAGAAAGAACTTGTCTACTTTTTTAAATAAAAAAATAAGTGCGCATTCGATCTCCATCTAACCTAATGGAAAGTGACGATGAGGTCGACGACGTTGCATGCACATCTAAATAATGTCTATTCACTCTCGCCTTGAAAAGATCGAAGTTATAGCGTTCGGGGAATAAGTCCGCAGGTAGGGAATTCCACTCTCTCGCCACTCGTCCATATAATGTGGAAGCGAAACGCTTTGTGCGAATCCTGGGAGTATCCACAAAATGGGGGTGGAATCCCAGCCCACTTCCCAAATGGGAAGGCGGAATCATATTATGCAATTCTGTCGCACGCTCTCCGCGATATATCCTGTACGATACCGATAAGCAAGCAACTTTATGGCGGTGTTCAAGGCTCTGCAGCTTCGCCTCTACTAATTTCGAGTCACCTATAAGCCTCTTGACACACTTGTCGATTGAATCCAAGGTGGCCAGTTGGTATTTAGCAGAACCATCCCATAAGTGGCAAACAGTACTCCATAACAACCGGACTTGTGCTTGATACGGCTGAAGCAACTGTCCCGTTGTGAAGTAACGCCTCACCAAGGAAAGCATGCCAAGCTTCCTAAGTGCATTTTTGGCCATGGATTCAATGCATCTGCCAACGTTCAGATTGGACGACAGGTCCATTCAGTAGCTGAAGACAGTCGGCTATTGGTATGGATATATCACGAAAAGTCAGAGTCAGGTGAAAGGGACTCCGTTTTGTGGAGAAAAGACTGGCATCGCCCCAATTGGAGTCTACCTTAATTGACAAATTCTTTGGTTCTGAATGCTCTTTTGACAGTAAATCAAGAAAAGGACGATTGATAAATGAAAATTGTATTTTATTTTTATTTATTTAAATGATTTAATATATAAAATATCAAACGCAGCATGTAAATTAATAAATGTAATAAATTCATGGCCCAGATCCAACACCAGGCTTTTTTCAGATGGAATTTTTAGCAGCTAATTAGGTACTTAACACGTTTTATATTGTTAATGAAATTTTTAAAATCCTGAAATAATTGTCTATGTGTAAGCTCTATTGCCTATCCTGCTGATACTGGGACTCCCGCATGAATATAGTACAGGCCAAGTCCTGTATTAATTCGTACGCTTCTCACTCTAAAATATAGTGATCGTTACTTACGAAATTGTATATTACTAAAAGCATGTATAAATATTTTATCTTATAATGTTACATTGTGTATTAAGGGTGGGCGGTAAATAAGAAATTACTAACGATATTACTAAGGCTGAGGGCTCCAATGACTCAAGGACTCGAGGCAAAACCGCATACAGCCACGATGGTAAATCATAATAATAATAAACCATTTATTTCAGGCAGTAGCCCATACGATAATGGTGTTAGTTATGAAAACCTTGCAACTATGTTAGTACAATGGATTTTGAAATTTTGATTAAAAAATTTAAAATATTAAACTACAAAAATTAAAATATTGAAATTAAGAAAATACACAATTTATTATTTAATTTCACCAGTAGCGATGTTATTCCAAAACGTTAAAGAAAGATATAAAATAAATCATATCAAAATGCTAAGAATGCCGGAAAATTTTAATTAATAAAATTAGTCAACCGTGACCATGGGACCTGTAAAGGGCCCGAAACGTCGGTTTGTTTGAAAAAACAAATATACGCGATTTAAATCCGGAAAAATAGTTTCATTTCTTATAAAATTAATTTAGCAAATGTTTAGTTTTACTCTATATTTCAAGCTTATATGAAATAATAATTCATATTTTTTCGAGCATTAAAACTATTTGCTTAATCTTAAATTATACGAGAAGTACAGCGCAATTAAATATAAACAAATCCATTAATGCCTTAAGGCGGTAATGTAAGCCCGTGGGCGTAAATCAGTACATTACCGCCGACTTTGCCTGCACGTTACGGCACTGTTTACGAGCAGGTGTTATAATAATATATTATCCCATAAATACTAGGTTATATATACCATATGTACAAACTCTCGCCTGAGAGACGACCCGTGCCCAATCGTGATACGTATAATGGGTTGATGATGAAATATGTATGCAAGGAAAAAACTTACTGGTCACCGTGAATGAAGCTGAAGGCCCTGTCCTTGGCGGCAAGGAATTTGAGGAAGGCGCGAGCCACGTCCTCGCCCGGCCACTCGGACGGCGGCAGCGAGTCCGTCAGCAGCGACTCTGGCACAGTTACGCAAAGAGTATTTATATAAGGTCATAGTAGTAGTACCTGTCACTAATTGCATCTACGTAGAAACTATATCCTTTGAATAATAAAAATTATAGCTTGTTTTAAAATACATACAGCGCCATCTATCGAGTACGGTGCGCAGTTATGCCTAAGACGCGTCATTACTATTACTTCTTATGAGTCTTAGTTTTGAGTTTTTTCCCCATTGCCATGATTTCCAGGAGAATAACAAAGACAGGTATATATAGATCAACACTAAAAGTTACATAAATTCAAACACCGCGAACATTGAATCATTGTTAATTTTTTTGTAACATTTATGTCTGTAAAATATTTCTGATTCTATAGAAGACTGCCTACCTTTTACCTATGCTGTCATTGGCAACATAGCTTTTTTCTTCCTGTCCATATACCACGCTAGGTGGAGTCTACACACCATGTATTTTTCTCCCACTGTATCAGCCGTCATTTCCATACTCACACCTTTTGTTATCCATGTCATCTTTCACACCATCCATCCATGTTTTTTTGTCATAATTAATATAATTTTTAATACTTTTTATTAAAAGTGGGAGGAAATAGCAAAATTAGCATACAACACTCAACTTACCGGTAGACTGGTGGTCAGTCTTCATGAAGACCTGAAGGCAACTCTTAAGGGTCGGCAGGGAAAGGGTCATCAGCTCGCACAGAGTGGCGTAGTGGTCGTACCTTTGCAGATCGGTACGTTCAAAACCAGATCGTTAAAAGTTTTGCCGAGCGCAAAAGGCCTTTGCGGACGGAAAAACATTGAATGAGGTATGACGAATTGGAAGTACCTCCAGACTCAATGCACTGTGTTTTTTTTATGTGAAAATAGCTAAACAAGACGATGTTACGTATTTGCCTAGTAAATGTCTGTACTCTAGCCTTAAATAGCTCGCAATTGTAATTTTCGGGGAAAACAGCAAAGAAGAAGCAGTGCTTCGTGCAATGGATGGTAAGTTAATAACATAAGGATGGAGTGTCAATAATCGCTTGAAATTAAAATCGCCATAGAAATAAGGAACTTTTTTCGAATAAAACGATGGAAGACCTACATTCTATATTCTACATTCTATGTCAATAGACAAAAGAGTTCCCCAAAATTCAATATTAAGACCTTTGTTATTTGTCAACTATAATAACGACTTGCCGAACGCATTACCATCACGGTCAAATGTAAATCTATACGCAGATGATACTCATTACAAATATCCCTTATAAATAATCGCTATAAAAATAAGGTACCAAGTTTTGCATAAAACGACAGAAGGCCTACATTCTTATTTTAGGAATATACAAAGGAGTTCCGCAAGGATCAATATTGGGACCTTTGTTATTTGTCATCTATATTAACGACTTGTCGAACGCATTACCATCATGGTTAAATGTAAATCTATTCGCAGATGATAGCTCATGTAGAAATATCAGCTATAAATAAAAAATGTTAGAAAATCAAACTGTTATTAAACTTAGAGTTAATCAATCCGTTTCATTTTTATTTATTTCAATTCGCTGTAATCTAACGGTTCATATCTGAACGACGACGAATTCGAGATGTTTACTTAGTTCCCTAAAAAAGGTGCGACCATATTGCAACGGTATAAGATTTACTTTAGTTTATTCTAACAAAAATAATGTTAGGATAAGCAGAAAATTTAAAAGTTGTTAACATTAAATAAGACTTAACTATGGTATGAAACACCACCGTAGATAATATTACAAGTGCGAATCTCATTATTGCACGGCATTTTTCTACAATTTTCGCGGTTCTGCACGAGATATTTGACACTACCGTAATGACAGTGAAAATGGCGGACTGAAATCAAGAACGTGCAACTTCGCGGACTGTTGGCACGCGTGCTACGCAAACTAGGCACTTATACTGCATTGATTGTTCTGTGGGGAGGGGCCACGGACCTGGACCAGCCGGTGAGCACGAGGCCGCCGAAGTGCACGAGGCTGCCGAACTTGCGCAGCTCGTTGCGCCACGCCTCGTGGTTGGTCGCGTAGCGCAGCGTCTGCGGGTACAGCTGCAAGCCATTCGCTTTAGCAGACGCTCTAATAACATTCCGCACGTCTTCCCGTCATGCAAACAGCTCTCGTGCGGATCGCTAAAGGGATCAGGTTACAAAGGAACCTTGTGCGTGCGAGTTCTCCGTTAACTTACAGCGCTGCTGCCGTTGGCGCCCTTGAAGGCGGAGCCGGCCCACACCCTAGGGAACATCTGCCCGTAGACCAGCCACAGCGTGGGATCCACGCTGAAGCACTCCTTGGGGTTGTAATGCCACACCACCGGCTCCACCAGCTGGTGCAGCTTGTACTCTGTCAATTCATACCAATGCCAGAACTTTAACGACTGACGACAGAGTACCGCCGTAGTATAATAATGTTGGTCGAAAGAAAGGAGAAATTTGCAGTGAGTTTGCAAACCACAAAAATTATGGACAATCTTCATATATGTGTTGAATTTTCAAGGTACAAAAAAGTAAATTCGTAAGTTTCTCTTAACTTGAATATTTGTTTATACATTGATACTGGTTTTGAGAGAGACTTATCGACCTACGGAATGGTTGCTTGAAGTGTTAAATTCCACACCTCTAAGAGCATCCATGCCGACATTTCGGATCATGTCGTCCCACATCATGACGACGATGCCCGGCCGCTTCAGCTTGATGAAGGTGACGAGATTGCTCACGTGCTCCAGGTATAGAGTGGTGACGCCGTAGCGGCTGCTACTTGCGCGACTCTTGCATTGATCGCAGACACCGAGGTGCCACACCTGGGAGGTGTTTGACAAAAATAAATGT